CCCCCCCCAATGTTGATCTCGATCCTTTCATTTCCCGCTCCGCTCGTGACCACTCGCATACATGTGCGCGCACACACACATACATACACACACACATACATCCATTCATTCATACACACATATACACATATACGCATTGGGGCACACGCACACACAACCTTTTGCAAAAGTCGTCGTCATGGCTACGAGCGGATCGGGTGAGAGGGAACCAATCATTGAACCATCTCGCAAGCTATTGTCTTTGCCATCTCTTGATGCGAGTGCCATGGACGGAAGATGGGCTGCAAGGCACGCCCTCTTACGGTGCGGGGGAAACCGGGGAGAGTGAGTCTTGCGTGGAAAAGATATCCGAGCAAGAGCCAAGTGGTATGATTTGCGTGCTTCCGTGCCTCGATCCTGATGGCGCAATGTCACTCCATTTTAGCTTGAAGTTCTCTCCCTTCCCTCTCAACTCGCTCTCTCTCTCTCTCTCTCTCTCTCTCTCTCTTTCTCTCTCTCGCCTCTGTCGTCTTTGGCGTTCTACCTTTTTGCGATAAGCGCACTAAAAGCGTGAGACTAGATGAAGGATGAAGGATGAGTCTTGAGGGAGGGGGGATGCAAGTCTAGAGGTGCAGGTATATTGCCAAGGTCAGCAGGCGACAGCCGAAGGTGGCGAGGCACAGTCCAAGGCCTGAAGGAGTGAATTGCATCAACTGTCACACTAGGCTCTCTCTCTATCTCTCTTTCCTCTTTCCCTCTCTCTCTTCCGCTTCCTTCGTCTACCTATCTATTTACCTGCTCTATCTAGAGAAATCAGAGATATATCAAAGATGGGGGGGAGGGGGAGGGGGATGGGAGGAGGGGGTGGGGAAGGAAGTCTGACCCGAAGCTTGAGGATGAAAATGAATAGAATCCTACGTTGAGAGACTCTGAAGAAAAGATTGCTAACTTTACGCATTCGGCTGCAGACATCGATCAGAACTCTCTCACTTGTCAAACCGACTCGTGATCTCCGGACGCGCCTCATGGCTGCATCCAAGGGAATGTATGACGGAGAGTCGCGAGACCTGCAGCACTTTATTGATCTGCTGGACCACTGCCTTGCACTCAACCCCGATAAGCGGATCAAGCCAGCGGATGCGCTCAAGCATCCGTTCTTTACGAGTCCTAGGAGGTGAAGTCATGGGGGGTCAAAGAGGTGATTCAGGTAGGACCGTCAAGGTCTAGTCTAGACTAGCAAAGTGTGGGTGTGACTTCTAATGAGGGGGAGAGACTGGGAGAGACTGGGAGAGACTGGGAAAGGAGGGATGGCCCGAATGGGGGGGGAGGGACACGCGTTGCATCTAAGCCACTATTTCTTTTTTTTTCTCGACGCAGTACGACGTAATACTTAAGCCGTACATACATGCATGGCAATAGTATCACGGCATATATTGAATAAGTCCCATCTGAATTCCATGTGGCGCGACTATGAATCGGAAGGTGAATATACAAATACACAAAGAAAAAGAAAAAAAAAAGGATAGAGTTGACTCTTATCGGATGATGATGATGATGATGATGATGATGATTATGTATGTGTGTATGTTTGTGTGTATGTGTGTGTGTGTGTGTGTGTGTGTGTGTGTCAAGAACTATGCAACTATGTAAACTATCTGAACCCAGAGTATCAGGTGTTTCCTACTAGTACGAGAACAGTAGAGTATAAAGACATGCACGCACACACACACCTAAACTATCATACCACTCACACGCACAAAAGACCAGTCCAGACGCAGATGAGAATCTAGATTCTTGGCGGTTGCTTCAGGAGTGAGGTGGAACGGTTAGAGCCGTTATTTTTTTGTGGGGCAGTTGAACTGTGAGTCTGAGACTTGTGTATGATGATCCCAAGGGCCTGTGATCTCTCTTGTCAAGGTCGTACTCGCATCGTATGTGAAACCTATTGTTGTCATTGTTGGTGTTGTTGTTTTTGGAGGGGGAGAGGGAGAGAAGAGAGAGAGAAGGAAGTTGTCTCTGATGGTAGAGTTTGAGCTCATTTTGTCGCAAGCGTGGTTGGGCTTGTGTGAGTACCATGTAAAGAGTTCGGGGTGTAAGAGGTTGAGTACTCAAGAGATTCGGAGTATTACTAGTAGTATCAGATCAAGGAATTCGTCAGGGTTATTATTACAACGAGCTGTACCAGTAGTGATAGTAGTAGTAGCAGTAGTAGTAGCAGTAGTAGTAGTAGTGAGATTAGTAGTAATATCAGGACCGAGAGATTCGGTATAAGATCAGACATGTTGATCTATGCTGGACGCATTGCATTGATCATTCGAATGGGTGAAACGCCCGATCCCTTGCCCATTGTATCATGGCGAGACATCTGCTTTGGCTGATTACCTCAGGATACACTCTGGGAGAGAGAGGGGGAGGAGGTTGGAGGTCGGAGAGACAATGCATCCCATCTCCCTTGCCAGATGCTAGGAATACGGCAAAGAATGTCGTGCAGTAGCTCGAGTCGTGGTAGACTTTTCCTTTTTCTTCCCTCCGTCTTCTCTTCTCTTCCTTTTCTCGTCGGAGAGTATGGCGATGGTCTCCTTCCGTCTACATGTGCATAGGTTCCAGCTGCAACTTGACCAGAGAATAATAAATTCGAGACGGCATGCTGATGAAGCGGTAACATTCATCAGTATAACGGGGTGCTCGGCTAGGCAGGGTATAATATATATAGAAACGGTACGATGCCTCGTCAACAGAGCAGAGACAAGAGTACGAGTACAGAGTAGAGGGAGAAGAAAGGGAAGGAGTAGACGAGAAGAGGGGAAGGAAGAGGAAGGAAGTCAGTCGATGAGACCAGAGGCGGACAAAGCGCATTTGTCGGTGTGCAGAGTATCGTCAATATACAGCTTCCCACATGGGAGTCCATCACGGAGACACGTATACGTGGAAACCGTACAGACGACGGCAAGGCGAGGAAGACAAAAAGGAAAAGAAAAAAAAAAAAGAAAAAAAAAAGAAAAAAAAAGGCACCTTTATTTTCTCTGTGAGAGTGGCATCCCTTGCGTCATCATCATTCAACCGTCAGGTGCAAGGGAGAAACGTTGCCGGGAAAGAAACTTGGCGGAATGTTCTCTAGCGTGGCCCGTGGCCCCCGTGACCCGTAGGACGACGACGTCATGGAGTATCTGATTGTTGGCAGCGATTTGCATCACGTGATTGAATCTTTCGTCGGATCTGGTAATGAGCTGTTGGAGCCTGCAACGTCAGATGAGGCTCAGTAGTGGGCTGCGTACGACGACGCCATGAAACAAACAGAGAAGAAAAGAAATGAAAAAAAGGTGGCGAGGTGGGCTTTTTTTTTTTTTTTTTTTTTTTTTGGGGGGGGGGGGGGGGGGTTGTTTTGTTTCTGTTTTCTTTTTAGTGTTTTGTTTCGACCATGTCGTCTCTCCCAGCTGATCGAGATTCTGTTTCTTTCTCTTTAACTAGCGATGCTTTCGACCAGCCATCTGCTAGGATGAGGCTTTGCATTGCCTCATTCGTGAACCAGATGTACGCATGTCAATATGTCAACATGTGTATGCATACGAGTGCTAGGCAGGATGAGTATGCATACGGCAGGTGCGAGGCAGGAGCGGGTTGAGGCAAATGCCGTCTCATTCATCAAGTCATCATGAGATGGAGGGCGATATACAGATTACAGATTACCCAAATCACAAATCACGAATGCAAAGTGCAAGGCATGAGCACAGACATACACACATACGGAAGTAATCTGTACAGATTAATCTGTACACATGTACGGGTACAGACGAGTGGAGCACGTATCTACAGAATCATGTGACTCTCTCCGAGAACAAGGGATCAAAGCGTCCCGGTCCCATTTCCAGGCGTCATTGCATATCATACTATGATATATTAGCGCATCTCGACAGAGAGAGAGTACGGATGACATGTACGGGCAACGCACCCTATCCCCCCTATCGTATAATGCCAACAAAAAAAAGTAGACCCCTATCCCTCCAACATCGTGCCCATGTGGTGGGCGGCATCATCGGCCCAATTGTCAGCAGGACCACATGTGAGAGTGCATGTGCATGCAAGAGTGCCCTGCCCTTTTTTCTTTTTTTTATCTCATTGTATTTTATTCTATTCTATTTTTCCATCTCTCCCGCTCCCTCTCTCTCTCCCCTCCATTGTCACCCAACCATGACCCCTGTATGGCCGGACCATGGATCCATATGTAATATCCGATTCTCGTGGGTTTAGCGAGAGCAAATGACACTACTGGCTGGTGCTCTGTGTGTGTGTGTGTGTGCGTGTGTGTGCGTGTGTGTTGTATAATGTATGATCCATGAAACCCCTCTCCCCCCGTACATGTCGGCAACATCGACACTAAGACGCAGTACAAATAAAGTGGCGATGGCACCGTACAGGTATTATGTCCTGAACCCCTGAAGGAGGCACCGGATGCCTGCCAATTTAGGACTGGACCTACCTGATCTTGGTCTCTCGGTGCTCTGTATATAACTCTGGAGCGAGTGAATGTACGGGTTAGCGGTAACTGATACTACTCGTAGCGCTGACTAGGTAGAATGGGACCGGGTCATCGTGGCAGTGTGATGCGATACTACCCACAGCATGATATTACCGTACCACTTTTTTTCTTTTTCTTCTTCCCCATCCTTCCTCCATCCTCCTTCCCTTCCCGTCACTTTTTGATCACCGACTTTATGTCATGGTCATTCTCTCGTGTTATATAATCTGTAGTGTGCACAACAGCAAAAGGAGAGAAGAAGCGGGGCTCCCATCCAGTCAAATAGAGGGATGGAATCCATGCAGGGCTTCCGTAGAGGGTCATGACCGCAAATTAAGTCGCATCACCTACCCTGCGTACTGATGAAGAATTCTGGGGACGAGGAAAGTATCATCCGTACGATGATGATGGCTTTGCAGGAGAAACTAGAGGTGACACGGAGATTTGACATAGGCCACCAGCTTCTTCTTCTCCTCTGTCTCTTCTCCTCTCCCAAACGGGATGGATAGAACTTTTCGAGTGCTCGAGTGTTGCTGTGTTACCCATCAAACAGGACAGGAGATGGGGTAGGACAGGATAGCAAACCGACGTGGTGCAACCATGTGTCCCCGTACTACGGTGACAGCTGACGTTGATGTCGGTGTTGACGCTGCTGCCACTGCCCACTTCCCAGCTGCTAAGGATTGCTAGGACGGGGGCGGACTGGGACGGGACCCGGGGCGGACTGACTGAAATTGACTCCTGCCGAGTCCATCGAAACAGCTCAAGCCGGATTTGCAGATCTGACGCTAAACGGGCACGTCGCCGGCCGATTATTACGGATAGTATGGGCAAGTACGGAGTAAGGTGCTAAGGAGTCAAGGTCTACGGCGCACTACGACTCGCTACGGGTCGCTACGGCCAAGTCTACGGATACTACTGGCACACTCGTACTAGACTCTAGCGGAACAAGGTAGATCGGGCCCCATTCATTTCTCAGCCGTACACGTACTCGTGCTCTTTTCTCGAAATGGTGATGCGACTCTACGTCCCAGGCTAGTGCCAGTCTCCTTGGCTGCGCAACCTTGGCCGCAACCGCAAACCTGTAACGGGGCTTCCGCTTGCATTAGCAGAAAAGTATGCTAACAGGGACAGGCCATGCCAAGGGGTACTAGTAGCAGTAGCAAGTAGCAGTAGCAGGTACTCGTATCTAGCAGTAGCGAGTAGCAGTAATAGCACTGTACACGGTGGTACTCGTATACCCGTGACAGGATTCAGCATGTTGCTGATGCACACTATGCCTCAGGCAGTGATGCATAAAAGCTGACAGACATGCAGTTTTATTATTTATCTGCTTGAGCAATATTATTATCTATCAACCGTCTTCCGTAATATTCCACGACACCTATGGACAGCGTACGACCACTGATAGAGGTGGTAGTCTCAGCGGATGAAGCTCATGTTACAGGCCACCTACAGGCCACCTACAGGCCACCTACAGGCCACCTACGGGACCACTCATATAGTAAGATTACAGTGGGCCAACCACTGATATCTCATCCTTACAGCCAAGGCAATGTACCTACAGGCCACGGGCTGTGAGAGCCCAACCCGTTTGCCATTGATACCTATTACTTGTACAGCTTTTTTTTTTTTTTTTTTTTTTTTTTTTTTTTTTTTTGT